TGTATGTAACATAATATATAAATTATAAGATTTGGAGTAGGTATCTAGTGTCTACAATCAACGCAGAATGACCGCGACGACGCCTCGTTTAAACATTTTGATTATTTTTTATATAATAAAATGGTTCTTTGTTAAAGGATTTGTTTTCAATAAACAAGGAGTGTTTAAAGTTGGAAATGACAGTTGCTAAAAACTGTGCGAATCAACTTACTGACAAATTTGGGTTAAAAGAATTAAAACAGGTAATCAGTGAAACTGTTTATCTAAATCTATTTAAGTTACTTCAGGTTGCCTTAGTTTTACCGATTTCATCTGCTTCATGTGAAAGGAGCTTTTCAGTTATGCGAAGAATGAAATCTTGGACACGTAATACAATGGGTCAGGAAAGACTATCGGACTTATCAGTTATTCATATTGAAAGGGATATAGTCATTGATAATGAGATTATTTTAAATAAGTATGCTGAAAATAAGCGTACATTTTCATTAAATTTGTAATAAATAAAATAAATTTGTTTTGCATAAAATGTTTAGATGTATTTGTTTGATTACTGATTTTTATTTTGTTAATATATATGGTGTGGTACTGTTGGGGTCTGTTTCCTCCAAAAAAATTTTGTTGCTTAAGCCCCCCTGATATTTTTAGGTGATTTGCGTCTATGGTGATATTTGACGGATAAAATGAGAAACGACGTTGACTACGATGTGGATGAAAGCTGATTATAATTGTTTTCGAGTGGATTTAGTACAGCGCGACGCGGTTAGAGCACAGCCTCGGGGTCGTACGTGCAAAAGGTCGCGACACTTCCGAGCGCCATGGCCGTAGTTCACATGATAGTAGCACTATGTTCTCGCTGGCGTGATCTTTTTCTGCTTGTCGACGGCTTGCGTGCAAGTTGACGGCTGGAGTCGGGTTGCATGTATGCTGAGCTGCCGACAGCTGTCAGACCTCCAAGGTGACGTTAGACGCCCTGTGATTAATCGGCATTGTAAAACCGCCGCTATCGACTGTCGGATTCGGCTGCGCGATATACATGGTTATAAAAACACTAGCGCTGCCCGTGGCCCGTAGCAAGATGCATGCGCGAACCGTACTATTTTTTTTTTTTTTTTTATAGTTTTCGTCGGAGCAACAGGGCACTATTAACTTGAACAGAGTATACCTAAGACGACGGTTTTCGCAATCGCGGCGGGACGAAACTACGAAAGCGACTTCGCGAGGCGCCTGGAGCTGTGCGTACCTACTGTATTCGCCGCGAAATTCGTCGAGCGGATTTCGCGGCGGTTTTCGTTCTGTCTGGCTATACACAGCGAATTCGCGTGACGGATTCGCTCAATAAAAAAAATACCGTAGTATAGTAATAATCGCCGCGAAATTCGCTAAACCAAAATACCCGTATAGCCGCTATCATTAAAAGTTTATATAAATAGACGGTTTTGCGGTTTTATGGATTGGGCGGTTTTGAAAAAAATCGTCGACCGACCGCGAATATCGCGGCGGATTAATTCGAGGCGAACTCGTATAGCCTGCCCGATTTAATCATATAGGTTTTCGATGACAGCGGAATTCGCCGCGAAATCCGTTCGATGACAGCGGAATTCGCCGCGAAATCCGTTCGACGAATTTCGCCGCGAATATCGCCTTGTGGCCCAGCCTTAGTGGCTACTACGCTATTTTTTTTTACTTAGGCTCGGGCTATACAAGGCGATATTCGCGGCGAAATTCGTCGAACGGATTTCGCGGCGAATTCCGCTGTCATCGAAAACCTATATGATTAAATCGGGCAGGCTATACGAGTTCGCCTCGAATTAATCCGCCGCGATATTCGCGGTCGGTCGACGATTTTTTTCAAAACCGCCCAATCCATAAAACCGCAAAACCGTCTATTTATATAAACTTTTAATGATAGCGGCTATACGGGTATTTTGGTTTAGCGAATTTCGCGGCGATTATTACTATACTACGGTATTTTTTTTATTGAGCGAATCCGTCACCGAATTCGCTGTGTATAGCCAGACAGAACGAAAACCGCCGCGAAATCCGCTCGACGAATTTCGCGGCGAATATCGCCGTGTATAGCCCCAGCCTAATACTCCATGACCGTACAAGTCGTGGACTAGTGTAATCAGCTCTAGGGATGGGAATTTCAACTCACTTTAGTGAGTCAAATCATTCAACTCAGTTCAGTTAAATGGACTGAATCAGTGAGTCTCTTATCAACTCTCACATATTCGATGATTCGTTCACGAGTCAAGGGTACGGTAAAGTAGTAAAATCCCCTTGAGTTGCGACTCCTGAACCCTGTCAGTTGACAGTTGTTTTCGACTTGTTTGAGCTGTATACATTATACAATATACAACACTAACAGTGTAGCTAGATTAAAAATAACCAAAAATCTTACCACAATAATATATTGTAATCAATCATCGTCTGTGTATTTACTACAGTATTTATTATTACTTATTCTGTGATACCTTCGATCATAATATACAATGGATAGAGCTACTATAGGTTCGCTATCGACATAAAAAATTAAAAATAATAACTCGTTACCATGTAACAACTTATATTGGGGGCAACTCTTTCAAATGAAAATATAATATAATAATCGTAGTCATGAAATATTGAATATTAGAGTATTATTATAATGTTCAAGACCATAGTATAGACGTACGAAACTCCACTACTATTCTATGGTAGTATCGTTCTTATGTTATCACTATGGCAAATATTGAGTGAAAATTATGGTTACAAACTTACATTACCTACCTATTTACATATACTTATTAAATAATAAATATAAAATTTATTAATATTTATTATAATAAAATATGCCTAATATGCCTAAATAAATAAATAACTTACATACAAATTAAAAATAGAATATAGTTAATTTATCTTAGAAATTTTATTTTTAATTACTTAAATGTTAGTTGAGGTGTTATGCAGTTTTTAAGTTATTCGTATGATAGGTAATTGTGCTACCATAAATGTATTTTGCAGGTTTGGTGTCCCAAATGTATAATAGTTCAGGGGGGGGGATGTCTTAACTCCTCCAGTTTTTTTATTCAAATTTCAGTTTAAAATAAAAATTATCAGGATTTAATTATTGAACCAACATAATTTCACTAATTAATATTTTTATCCGTGGCTGTAACAATACCAAAAGTTCAGCCACATGTAAACGCGCTTTTTCACCAATGAAGCAAATAAAAAATTGGTTAAGAAGTAGTATGGAACAAGAGAGGTTTAGTTATTTATTTATTTTGAGTTTTGAAAATTTAAGGTGTATCTACAAATTGTATTATTTGGTTTGTTTTGTTAGTATGTTACTTGTATGAATATGCAGTATAACCTAACCTATCCTAAGTAAATAGTAGAAGTACCTACATAAAAATGTACTCATTTTAAATTATGTAACAATTATAAATAGAACAATGTTCAAAAGTTTCGTAAAAACGTTAGACAAGTTAGATATAAAAATGATTTATTAACCGGAGATCAAATTTCTAGAATTTTTTTTTTATGAATAGAAAACTTATTCCAGTTACTAATTTTTGTGCTCAATTTTGTACCAAAAACTATTCTTGAAGCATGTTTGCAGTGTGATTCAACACATTTTCCAAACATTAATAAATTGTTACAAATTTTATGCACATTACCTAGTGCATAATATATAGAAATATAACACGAAGACTCCCGGGTTTTGACGCCTTGCGGCTACAACCGCAGACCTCACATTAGCACTGTGCGCTAGTCGAGAGCCGCGGAGGTTCACGGTCGACGTACGGTGGCCCAGTCCGCCGACCGCGCGTCGTCTACGGACCACGAGCACCGGAACCGAGGTCCCGTACCATGAAGACAGGCCAAGTGCCGCCTGAATTCGCCTGGTCTGGCTGTGTGCTATCCCCACACCGAGTGTTTCTGGTTACACTCAACCTCCGATGATACTACACCGGTATAGCGGCGAGACGCCCGAGAGGAACCGACAACGAACCGGTGACTCGCGCCCCCGGGTCGTGACGGCCGTTCATCAGAGGTTTTCGCCTGTCAGCGAGAACTTAGAATAAGCAACTATTGACTTAACCACAAAGTATTCGTAAGAAAACCGCCACCACGATTCCTACCGGCAACGGACGTCCAGGGGCGTGAACCATCACTGGACGCCCGCGGTGAGCGGCGTCATTGCCGACGGGGCCCCACTCACTCCCGTGGTACTGAAGCGTCTTCAGTCAGACTTTCGCCCCCTCGGGTTCTACCAGTTCTGTCGGCAAAACGGGCATTGGTATTGCCTTAACCGCGGACGAGCGTCCGCGGGGTGCGAATTTAATCTCGGCCACCACCCTTTCGAAACCGTCACCAGCAAGGACCCGTTCTTTGGGTCAGTCTGGCCGAACGTCCCGACTCGGTGCCTACCGAGCCGTGGCGCCCTGCCCAAACTGGCGACAGCCCTACCTTTCGGTCAAAGGTGGGACATTTTGCGACGACCACCCTCGCCTACCGACTTAGGAGCTCTAAGCAGACGAGCCATCCGCCGCGAGCCTGCAACACTCACCGCTGTGTCCCGGAGACATGCCCGAACCCGGCTTACGCTGAGACACCCGGCTGCTGGACGGAGCGAACTCCGGCGCCCGTGCCCGTTTGGGTCGGTGGCCCAACCGGCGACCGTGAACCAGCAGCTCGATTCTGCAAGTCGATAAGACTGGTTATCGACAATTTTCGGTTCGTTAAGCTAACGAAACTACTACTATCGAATCGTTATCAATTTAGTGATTCTGTAACAGTTTTATAACGAATGTTATCGTTAAGGTATATAAAATATCCGATATCGTAACGGGCTTTCAGAAACGGCCGCTACGCCTTATCGAGTATGTATCGAGGCTAAAAATTAGTAAATATTATCCAAAAGTCAAAACTAGTTATTATTAAAACGTTTTATTTTGTTTGAGTGCTAGTTAAAACTTAAATATCGTAGTACCTAGTGCTATTTAGTTTTGTTCATGGCTTTATATTTTTTGGGATGGGAGTTGGAGCTTCTAGAAGAAAGAGTTAGGACAGTTGAGAGGCGGTTGGAAAGAAGAATGTTACGTGACACAAAAAATGCTTACGAACTTCCAAGGAATGAGTTCATGGATATCTTTCGTTTAAGTCCGGAATTATCAATGGACTTAACTAATACCCTTCGTCCATTTCTTCAACGCGAGCGCAACTCTGGAATTCCAGTAGAAATCCAGGTAATTGTTCCACCAAAATTATTATATTACATTAATATAGTACATAATATATATTAAAACCATGGTGTAACTAGGCCAATATTTTAGGGGGTGAACAAATTTTAATAATTTCCAGACCCTAAGATTTCACACTTGATGTATAAAGAAATAAGAATTATTTGAAATGTAGGTACCATATTTTAATGAGAGCAAGACAGTCACAAACCAAAGTTCAATAAAATACAATAGGTAGTCACAACTGTTTAACATGTTTTTTATGTCCAGTAAATTATATTTATTTAAATAACATCTAGTTCAAGACGATATGGTCCATTATTTCAATTACCCAAATCAATAATGCCATTACTATTATTTTTATTCAATAATTTTTAAATAATAATTTAAGTAATAATAAAGCATTTAGCATAATATTGCTCAGTTAAATGTTGTACATGACACTCAATTCCAACAATATCACCACATTTGTCACATATTCATAAGACATTAGTTATTTTGTAAATTTAACTTATTTAATGTTTTTTAAAGTGTATTTATATTTTGTTGTTAAGTTTTATATTTGATAATCGTAGATAAATGTAATTACAGGCCATAGGTATTCAGTCAAAGTTAAAAGTATAATAGGTACCTACATCTGACTTTAAATTTTTTTAGTATGACTTGAAACAAGTTGTGAACACATTGATTAGTAATAATAAAATAAAAATTAAACCACCGTAAAAACAATTATAATTATAATTGTTTATTTAACTTGTATAGGTATTAGTTGCAGTTTACTTTTATGCCAAGGGTAGCTATCAACGTGCTACGGGTGATCATTTCGATTTAAATGTAAGTCAGCCATCAGTGAGTAGATGTCTTCATGCTATCACCGACGCTATTAACAATAATCTCTTGAGACAATGGGTACGATTTCCTATGACAAATTTAGAAAGGAATAATGCTCGTGAAGAATTTTGTAATGCACCACAGCCGTTTGAAGGTGCCATTGGTGCTATCGATTGCACTTACATAAATATTCTAGCCCCTAAAGACCATGAAGAAGCTTTTGTTAACCATCATGGGAATCATTCATTGAATGTCCAAGCCGTATGTAAAAATATTTTAATAGTTTATATTATACTTTACAAATACATTTTTCAGGTAGTTAGCCCTAAACTAAAAATACTTAATATAAATGCCAGATATCCAGGAGCCAGGAATGACTCTTATATATGGAGCACTTCACCTATCCGACGTGCGATGGAATTCCATTATAATAAGGGTGAACGCCATACTTGGCTTATTGGTAATTATTTTGCAAATGAAAATCAAGAACATTTGGTCTTATATTAATTGTAATCTAGGTGATTCTGGCTATCCATTAGAGCCTTGGCTTATGACTCCACTGCCACATTATAGAGAGGGCACAAGGCAGTTAAAATATACAATGAAACACTGTAAAGCCAGAAATGTTGTAGAGAGATTCTTTGGAGTTTTCAAAAGTGTTTGGAGATGTCTGTCCTATCAGCGTGTATTAATGTATGCACCCGATATGGCTGGTAAAATTGTTAACGCTTGTGCCGTCCTTCATAATATGCGCATCCATTACCGTATCCCTATAGATGTTGAAAATATTGAAAATGGAAACAATGATGAATATGCTATTAGGAATTTTCAACAAAATGAAGATGAAATAGCAGAGAGTCCTAGAGACCTAGAGCTGTTGCAATGCAAATTCAAAAACAAATACTCCAAAATTGGTTCCATGGATACATTGATGGTGATGCTTAAACATAATAAACAGAAAATAACAAAACAAATAAATTTATATTTATCTTTAAAAATGTGTAACAAACTCAAAATAGTTGTATGCTTTGTATAATGTGTTGAATAAAATTATAAAATAAAACAAATACTTATTAATAATATCACTTCTTTTGACTAAATATATAATAAAAAAAAAAACAAAACAAAGAATTTAATTTAATTTTGAAATTGTAGCAGATAATAAATTTACAAGTTGCTCATCTACTAAGAGTCTTTTTTCGTCGTTTTCAGCCATTTTAGTGATTGCAGCAGCCATTTGTATGTTGCTTTCAGCTATCATGCTTAAAGAATTTGTTAACAGCTAAAAAAGCATTTAAGGATGATTAGGTATATTATAGTAAAAGTAAGTGATATTGGAAAACAAACCTCAATTTGTTGGTTGCTTGTTTTGGCAAGATTAGTGAATATTTCACGCGCATTGGAAAATTGTGTGTTAAGTTTGACATCTATTATTAAAAATTGTAATTAATACTATTAATTATTCTGAGTAATTTTCAATTACTTACCACATTTTTTCTTTTTGGAATTAGTGGCAGTAGTAATATTTGAAAATAGAGGTTGTGTAGCCAATGAATTGTCTGGTGTAAATGAAGTGCAAAAGTCAGGTACTGCGATCTGTGGCACTGACTCACAAGTCGGTGACATCTGTTGTGATACCTCCAGGATGTTGTCTAAGATTTCCACAGTATATGAATTTAAATCATTTGCATCTGGGTTAAGTATTAAAAACATTTATTAATGCATAATAAATATCAAAAACATATTTTTGAATAGGTTATTTTTTAATAATGAGATATAATGTAAAAATTATTTTTTCTATTAGTTTTTGATTAATTAGTTGAAATTGAATAACAAACCATTCATATTATGTTCATCATGGTTTGGCCTTATGGTTAGTGGAGTAGGTACTATATTCAATATCTAATATCACCGTTTGCCAACTGTTCAACATCATTATCCTAAAAAAACAATACATAAGGGCTCGAGATAGATAAAATAATAATAAATAAAAATAAATTTACTAACCAGTTCTTCTGGCCATGAATCTGGGCATGTCGTCCCCTCAACATAATCAAACCCTACTATACCTAAAACTTTATTGTCCATCTCAGTCAATTCGTTGAATTGAATATGTTTATTTCCGGTCTGTCTTCTTGAGTTCCTTAACACTGATGCCTTTTTTGAGACCTTGGTCTTCAAATCTCTCCAAGACTAAAAATAATATGAAGATAAAACAAACAAATTCGTTTTGAGAAAAAGTGACTTGAAGTCTAAGATATGTGAAAGAGTTTTTTACCTAAGCGTTTGAAACTAAAATTTAAATACTTGCAAAGATACTTTACAATATAACTTTTTCGTATATTATGAGATACTCTCTTAAACCTAAAAAGTTAAGCTTGTGGCTTTTTACAATATTTTAAGTAAATGCAAGACTACCATATTTTGGGATGTGGCTGTATTGCATACAAAAATTGATTTTAAGACAGCCATATACTTAAATATAGCAGAATTGCATTTCATATTGTGGCTACAATATAACAATGTATAAAATGTAATACTGCAACAACCCTAAACATTGCAGTTTTGCACTTGACGTATGTCACACAGAAAATTAGATTTTATTTATGAAAAAAACCCCACAATTCGAAGTAAGGAAGTATTGAATTTTGACTTCAGTGATTAATTGCATAAATTAAAATAAGTATAAGTACTGCCATAAACTAAATATGGCTCTCTAACTTTGAAAAAAATACTGACACTTCTTTTTAGTGGCTAAATGAAAAATGATACTAAATGTGGTGGCGTTCTTGCATTTTATAGTCATGTCTTGTTCTTTAAAATACAAATAATCGAGCGGGTACAGAAGATTATTATTTTTTTTAAAAGTCCCAATTTATTATAACCAAATAAATATATAATATAATCAAATACCTATTATATTATTATATTTTGAGTTTGTATTAAACTTAAATGTTAACAAAAACATTATTAATAAAAATAAAATAATTTAAACTGTAGGTTTTCTCAATAATTAATGAAGTCCTTCATTCAGTATTTTGTAAATATAAGTTGACACTTGACAGTTTGGTACAAATTCAGAAAACAATACTTTTATAATTTCCAACACTTGAAATGTAAATGCAATAAACTTTAGCTTATAACGATAGTACTATACCTAGTATATTAATAAAGCAGTGGTATAACTCTTCATTCACAAAAAAAATCACCAAATAATGATAAAAGGAAAACCCAAGGTGTTAAGTTTAATATTTTATTAATGTAATGTTTTAAAATGTATTTTCATTACCTCTTTCCAGGATTTTGTATTTTTTTCTTTTACACCAGGATTCCGAAGGTTATTAAGGTGTTGCACCAACTCATCCCACGAGCCTTCGAGGTCATTTTTTCCGTTAATTGTTCTAAATTTACCAGTGGCGACATGAGGGTGTTGTACCATGTAGTCTACCATAAAAGTTAATTGTTTATCATTTCTTCTGCCTTGTCTTGACTTTTTTTGATTAATCTCTTGCTCATCATTTTGAGATATTCTATGATAATTCAAATTTAAACAAACAGTTAGATGTTATAAAAACGCAAATAGGTAGTTAGTAAACTTTTAATAATATAAGTACTTACGATTGAGTAGCTATCCTCTTCATATTTAGAATCAAGTATAACAGGTATAGACAGGTAGACAGGTATAACAATTAACAGGTATAACAGGTAGACAAGTATAACAATCACATATATTCAGTTTTTTTTTTAAATAAAAAGTACACGGAACAAATTACGAGTGTGAAGTAACAAATTCGTTTTTCGTATTAATTTAAAGTTTAAACGAAAATACGAACTAAAATTAAATGTAATTTCCTGTGATAAAGAATCATGATAAGAATACTTCTCGCACTGTGATTGGATACAATTTATAAACTCCCAGAAAATGATCATTAGGTGATGATTTCCTATCGACTTGTTGGTAACGAAATTTGTAAGCGCAAACTATCGATAGAGGCATTTACAGAATCACTTAGTCGATAACTAAATTCGATACATTTTAGAATATGTCGATCACTATCTAATAAATTCGTTAACAACTTATCGACTTGCAGAATCGAGCTGCAGAGGACATACTGTCCGGAACTACGGGTCATTTAATCGAAGCTGTCCACGGCCGGTTATTAGTTATTCGCCGGCTACCCGACTCGGAAGCTACCGAGGGAACCGGGCGTCCCCCTATCCGCAACCTGGGGACGCGATCTATACCGTGCGTCCACGGTCGCGAAACTCGCAGTAGGCGGCTGTGGTTTCGCTAGATATAGAAATATAACAGTCACGCCTGATGAGGTACCTTCTCAATGTACTTTCAGTGTCGTCGAGAACATTGAACTTTCTTTTGTTGTTTATAAACAAAATTGTGTACAATATAGCACTGTACCTAACATGTATATACTATATTTTAATATGAATAAATGTGTATACTATTATGTCTATTAAAATCTTTATATCCACCCCCCCCTCCCGTGAGAAAATCCTAGATACGCTTCTGATATTAGCATATAAGTACTATTCTTAACCCGCAATGATTTATTTCAATATTGACTTTTGAATTTTGTATATGCATATAATTATTTGTTGTTATATTCAAATATATAGAGAGGTATTCAGTATTAGATGATCTACATATTAATTATTAAAAGACATATTTTCAAAATACCACGTTGCATAATATGTAGGTATAGGTATTTTATACTACCTATACGATAACAATTTGAGGAGGCTAGTAGTATTTGGGGAGCCAAGTTTCCCTAAGTTCTTATTTATATAAATTACTTATACCATATATAATTTTAGTAAAATCTATGAATTATCATTATTCAATTCTTATCATTATAAACAAATAATAAAGGATAGTGGCGTGTCTTTATAGCTATATTTATTTTCCACAAGGCCCAAGCTATTGAAAACTAATATGCATAATTATACATTTTATAGATAAAAATAGAAACCTATTTTTAAAAAATAAAAACAATCAGTAGAAAAATTCCCACACACCACTGACCACTCCTGTATTTCTGTAATATACCAATGGAGTATGGACAGTAAATATAAAAATAGCCATATCATACCATATTTTAGCCATACCATATACAAATTAATATCTACCAACGATTCCATTCTCGAATATTAAGCTGTCATCATCTTGTTAAATTATTTATTACCACTTAACAAATTGTAAGTCATTTATATTTGCTCTACACCAAGGTTTTAAGTTCATAAATAATGAGTAAGTCTAGTGTAGTTTGGGACTTTTTTACATTAAATCTTAAATCAACTGACTATTCTAAAATATACTACATAATATAAAAATATAAATTTGTGGGTTATCCATAGACCTTATATTACTACTAATATATTAATTAATAAGTTATTATTATTATTATTCTATTCTATGGAACTATATTCGTTATCTCAACGATAAAGTAAGTTTAAAAACCACGATTAAAGATCAGCTATCGACGTCGTAGACCGTGGTAACCAGTATAATGTAATGTAACTATGGTCTATGACAGAGATATGACTAACTGATAAGAGCATAGCACTGTAAATGTTCGTTATCAATAACATTTTTTTAAATGACTAACGATTGTTGAATTTTTCATTTTGAATTTGATTTGACTTAGTGTGTAATGTGTACTGTGTTTGACTAATAATTAATTTTTTAAGTACCTATTAACGATTTTGTGGCCAACAGGAATAAAACATGATAAGGTATTACTTTTTTTGAGTGAAGCAGCTCCATATATGGTCAAGGCTGGACAATAGAAATAAAGGCTTTAACCCAATAAAAAAATATGTCAAATATTAGAATTAGAAGAAGATATTAATCCAGAAAATATTATTCCAGAAGACTTAACACCTAACGATCTGACATTTTTCAAGTTTGCTCCTATCACCTCAGTTAATTTAGAGAGGTCATTTTCAATATAAAAACTTATTGGCAGACATTTTTTGGTCTTTTTTTTAAATTCTAAAACATTAAAGAAATTCTTATTGTACAATGCAATGCAAATATAATTTCATTTTTAATTTTAATTTTTTTTTGTACATTGGAATATAATTTATAGAATATAATTTATATTTTATTAGAATTTTATTTGTTCCTCATTTTTTAATAATAATTTAATTTGAATTTATTTAATAAATAATGCATTTTTTGATATTTTTAGGGCAATTAAATCCGAGCCCTAATTATAATATAAATATATTATAGCAATATAGCCTATTATAGGTACCTACTACCTGTCTACCTATATATTGTAGGTAGGTACTATAAAAACTATCGGCGTACCTGCTGATCAGATTCAAGAGATCGTACTTGTTCATCTTCAGAAAACATAAATTTCTTTAATTTTTCCTTGAAAGACGCTGATTTTTTGTCCATCCTGAATTTTATTATTTTAATTAGCGCACACGAAACGTCAAACTTGACTGTCGAAAACGTACGATAAGTAATAAGTAATAACACCTTAACCCTTTTTATGTTGTCTATGTTATTACGTAATTGATTTTATCGTATCTATTGAACGTCTGTGTAGACTGTCAATATTCACCAGAACTATGATAAGAAAACCTAATAACTTATGTGCTATTATTAGACTGGCGAGAAATTATCAGGATTGTAATTTTTCCATGTTTACAATAAAACTATAAAACTTTCGTATGGAAATATTATTGAATACTGTAACTCTAAAAGTATTAATATCTACGTTATAAAAGATAGGGCAACTACAGGGTTTTGGGGGGGGGGGGGGAAATGCCCCCCTTTGCCCCCCCCCCCCCCCCCTTGGATCCACCACTGGCACTGAAAAATATAATAATAGTATATATAAGTAAAGTAATAAATACTAAATTAAAAAATAAACAACGAAGTGATTATAGGCGATTAAATCGGTTTAACGTTGTGAATATTATGGATAAACATAAACTAATCGTTCCGTTAAAAGCAGGTGAAACTAAAATTATTTAGTATTTACTGTGTAAAGAACGAAGAACTATACGACATTATGCACGAAGCTCATATAAAAACTGGTCATGGAGGGCGAACCAGAATGATGAACGAATTGCAGAACAAATTCAAAAATATGAAGTTGTTATGTTATTTTTATGTTTATGTGTTCAATGCCAAGCCAAACAAAAAGTTCCTAAAAAAGGTATTGTAATCAAACCTATTTTATGTCATGAACTTAATTTCCGTTGTCAAGTAGACTTGGTACATATGCAAACTTTCAAATTTATTGTTATTAATTATCATACTAATTTAAAGGAAAACAGGTTCTGTCATTGTTAAAAATACGTACAATATTTAATTTGTGTTTAACATGAATTTCACATATGAAAACAAGAAAATGATGTAATTAGTAAATGAACAAAATTAATTATAAGTAAGTTAGTTAATAGCATATTTCCATTGCCAATCCTCGTGGGGTTAGAAAATAATTTCTAAGTGCGGCTGGAGAAGAGGTGTGCAGTACTTCTTACATCGATGTGGTCATTGGGTTCACAGTCCTGGGGATAGATAGATACGTACGGAAGTCCCTCTAGTTTTCGTACATAGTTATGGAGGACGCATGCGGCTTTGATGACGAAGTTCACATTTTCGGGCTCTCTAATGCGAATAGGACCATTAAAACAGCAAACTTTTCACATACCATCCCAAAAGTGCACTCAATGGTTTTCCTTGCTCTGCTAATTCTGTAGTTATATATTCTATTTATATTATCCAAAACTCTTTGAAGGTAAGGCCTGATTAGATATCTTGATAACGGAAATGCTTCATCGGCAACAAAGTAATATGGAAATGAGCTGTAGTTTTCATGATAAGTCAATAGTGAGGGGGTAGGAATATCAAGTTCACCACGATGTATCCAATATTTAATTGCTGAGGCCCTGAATATAACTCCATCGCTATTTCATAAGGCATAACCCGTTTCAATCATTGTGAATAAATCGTGAGCATCACAGCAAGCCAATAACGCTGTCGAATGATATAATTTGTAGTTAAAATTGGAAGAACCACTATTCGCCAACTTCTCAATTTTGACGTGTTTGCCATCGATTGCTCCTATGCAGTTTCGAAGATTCCAGAGAGTCTCAAAATGTTGTGCTATTGCTGTACACTGCTCTCTATTCGATACCTGCATGTATTTGTCCTTCAACACTTCCCAAATCACTTATGATGTGTCCGATACAATCCCCCCAACTGTGGACTCCCCACTAGCGAAATAAACTACAAGTGATGCAAATGTTCCACCAGTACCCAAGTATCTGTAACATGGAGATAATAATGCATCGAGTTCATAGTTTAAGACAATTTCTATAATAAATATTGTAATATCGGAGCTTCTATTAAAATTTCTAATGTAAGCTGTGAAAATAAAAACTTTTATGAATTTCTAACTGAAATATAATTCACAATATTTCAAAAATGTTCATATCTTTTTTTTCAATTTACACTTAATAATTTTATTGGGTTTTGAAAAATATTTAAAAGAATTTCAAACCCTATATAATACTTTAATCATTTTTGTTTGTGACAGCGGCTGAATGCAAAGAAAGATGGAAGAATATTCGAGCAGTTTTTGTGTGAAACATGAAGCCTGCCAAAAGTGGCGCAGGAGTGAAAACAAACAGGACATATTATTCAATGGAATCTATGCAATTCAAAGTACCATATATAAAGGCATTAGGTGCACCTTCAGGAAATCTACCAAATCAACCAGAACAAAAAGAAGATAAGGAATCTGAAGAAAATGATTCGACCGCCAACGAAGAAAACGTTTTGGAACCACAATGTTCATTTCAACAATCGCCAACCCCATCTCTACCATATCTTCACCGTTACCGTCTCCTACACCACTACCCACAACTGAAATGTCTCAAAACAAGAAGAAGACTACTCACAGTCAGCCTGAGCCTTTTCTATAAAATCTACCAAACCGAAAACGGAGCTTTAAGAACCCAGTTGATAAAGCATTCCTCGAATACTTCGAAACCAAAAAATCCAGAGCGCTAAATTCATCAGATCATATGAAGCAGGATCAAAAAATAGAAGGTTTGAAAATGTTTTTACTTATCATGCTACCAGATCTTCTCAAAATGTCAGACGAAGGAGTACGACTTTTCAAGCGAAGAGCCCTGCGTCTGTTGATGATATTTTATCAGACAGTTTGAAGTACACACCTTCAAATACATTTTCAGCCTCATCTACACTTTCAACACGCTCTGAAGTGATGTATATACCTCAGTATGCAAATGTGAATAATACTTCGCAATTAAACAGACTAGGAACCTCAAGCAGTCAGAGCACAGCACAGTTTTATGAAGCAGTAATTCATTATTCATTATTTATTTTAATATTTTTCATCTGCTTTGAAACAATATGGTATGAGCCTATTATTAACAGGACAAAATATCCAACTGTAAAGACATCCAAGGTAGATTACACAGTAGATTACACTTTACTTTCTAATAAAATTAGCCCAAATATCACAAAGTATACTGCATTACTACACAAACATTAGTCAAATACTCAAATAATATATAATAAAATGTACAGTTGAAATCTAAAATAATTTTCATGCATTTTGAGTTTTGACAAAACAACTAAAATTATAAAAATAAAAAAAAATTATAATAAAATAGAAAAGGATCTAGGATCTTTTTTTTTCTATTTTTAAAAACGTTTTTCTAAATTATTAGGAAATAGTGTAGATAGTAATTTTTTTTAGCAAATTATTTAATATTTTATTTTATTGTGATATATATATTTCCTTTTGATTTGAAAGTTCATAATTTTTTCTATTCATATATAAAGATCCATGATACTAAAATTATTGAAGTGTTTAATAGATATGTGATTGAGCTCCGCGGTTTCGTAGTTCGTACCACGAATTAGGATATACTGGATACGGAACGGGCGCTTATCAGTTGATGTCAAACCTTCTTAGACTATGGCATGACACACCGTGCTTTATAGTATCGTTCTGTTAACCGGGAGAATAATGAATTATTAGTTCCTTATTCTCCTGGTTAACACAGAACAATCCTATAAAGCACTAGTGGTCTAGCCGTAACGTAAGAAGTTAATGCCACGTAATATGAGTTGATAAGGCACTGAGTTCCGTATCCAGTATATTATCTTAATTCGTACCCAAATTTCTCCCACTCTACTAATTAGTCGCCCACGTAAATTCCCCCACTCAGTACGCAGCGAACGGTGGTGGCAGGTGGGCGCTACGGTAGCGGTGACAGCGTCGGTGGCACGAATTGACAGCGGCCAGCGTTTTGGAGGGTTCGGTGGTGGGAATGCGCGTAAATGGACGAATTTTGGTCACCGCCCAGTAGTGTTCAGTATTTATTCAGGGTAAACTATCAGAAGAAGCTCAAGAAAGTATGAATAAAGAGTATAAGAATTATAAGAGAATTATAAGGGTATAATACTGTTGTTTTTGACAAGGCATGGTGTTAGAAAAAAAGAAAAATATCAGTTATTTATTTAATAATATTATATTATAAATTACAATGCTCAACAGTTACAATAAGTTTTACCATAAATATATATTTTGAGTCTTCTAGTGACAATATGGATCCTGTAGCATGTAGAATTGTAGATACTGGCAGGTACATTGACAGAACCAAGAATATTTAATGAAAATATTATTATTTAAATGTGGTTTAATATTTTTAATTTTGAAAGTTTAGCTAATTTTGATGTGGTTGAAAACATTTTTGTTTTATTAAATATTTTACAAATTAAAAGTTGATCAATTATATACATTTTGTGCTCTAAATAGTTTTTCATTGATTCATCTAACCATTGATTATAAATACTATAGATTGCTCACTGGCCGTATTTTCGGTGGCGTACAATAAAACTCTCGGTAGATGGCGATAAGAACCAATAATACTAATAAATTCGTATTTTATTCCAGCCGCCGTAACTATGTTGGAGTGAAGTGCGGGGATAACTGGTTTTTATCCGTTTATCGTCGTAATCGTGGTGTCCCGCCGCGCCGGCCGCCTGTTAACCACCGCTCCGACATATTTATATTAGGAAAATTATTAATTAGGATTTATGAATGAATTTGGCCGAGTGTGGTGCTGGAGAAAACAGGCGTACTAACAGGCTAAATAAGCCTAAATATATTTTTTTTTGTTTTACAGAAAAATAGTGAAATGTTATAAGTTATAAGCAAATAAACAATATTTTAACAGTTTAAACTACACAACAAATTTTTGATTGCACGTAGGTACCTTAATAAATTCGTGTTATTTAACCATATACTGCAGTGGCGGCGTGAACTATTTTTTCCTATGAAGCAACTGCATCATAAAATAGCTTTTCACGCCGCCACTGAACCATAGAATAATCTATGACTTAGCTAACTACTTGTATATAGAGTGTAGTCACACTTCGTCAGATTTAAATTCGAAACATAAAGTAAACTTGCCATTTATTATTAATTATAGTTATATAATTATTATTAGGTATACTACTTGTATATAATATATATATTTCATAAAATTATTTAAATGTTTAGAATATACTCACGGGCAGTCACGGCGACTTAATACAAGTTGTAAAATACTAAAATTAAAAATTAACATTAATATTAATTATAATAATAAAAAAAAAATATAATATTATCATTTATTCTGTAATATACGTAACTTATCCGTGTCCTGCACTACTCGCTTTCTTACGTTAGTATTTTCCACTTTACATTCTTTATATAATTTTGTTCTAAACAACAACTCAATAATATACATATAATGATTGTGACATGTGGAGTTCTCGACATCAGAATATTTTTGGTATATTATTGGTAGAGCCTTTTCTTTAAATGAAAATATAATTTTTTTTTCAGTCTTGATTTTTGGAAAATAATTTTCAAATACATTTAAACAAATTTCAACTATTTCTACAAGCTTATCCGATGGAATTTTGAGACCTTGCGCCAGTCCAACGTTGTCGAACGTTTTTTTTAGAATTAAAATTTGTGGTGGTTCGTTTAAATATTCATTTTTGTTTTTAGTCAAATCACAATCTGTGCATAAAAACTTATCCAAACACTTTTTTGCTAAGTAGCCTGCAAAATAAACTATGGAACAAGATTCTAGTGATGGTTGCTCGCAGTACACTTTTCGATTATTTAAATCTTCCGGCGAAGTACTTAATTCAACTCCTGTTTCTTCTGTATTCGTAACTAATTCTTCAACTGCAGGATCAATCGAAACATCTTTCAAAACGTCTACAGTAAGAAACTCGGCTTCATCAGTTTCACAATTCTTACACGTTGAGGTACATTGCATCAAACTGTATGAACATATATGTCCAAAACAGCATCGGAACGTTCTAGCGGTAGGATTCCTGTTATACCTGTTAGCATTTAAATATTGTTATAATCACAATTAATTTTTAATTATAATACGATTTTTTTGTACGAATAGTGTAACTACACACATTGTATAATAAGAATGAATTAAATTAAAATAGTAATTTTTATATTTAAATTTATAATTTATAAATTTTAATAATTAATAACATACCTATTTATTATATAAATAGTATATAGGTAATAATAATTATTATTAGGTAGCTATTATACTATTATTATAATTTATAATTTATAATCAGTGAAAATATTAAGCTAATAAATTATAAATTATATTTTCTACATACCCATTCTTCTGACGCATTATTGAAAAAAAATTTTCTAAAGCATCTTGCGTTAAGCGATTTGTCAATAGAAAGTACTCTATATTTGTGAAAGGGGCTACTGCAGACATTTCTAATTTTTCAGATTCATAAAGCTGCTGAATAGCTGTTGTTGTCCAAACAATTCCAATAAAACATGGCGGAATGCTTGTTTTTTTCGTTCTGTGACAAATTTTGATTGTGTTTTTAAATAGTTTTTTTGCCTTTTCTAAATTCTCAAATATTTGTGGATTACGGTTAGACATTGGTCTTCTATTTGGATTTGGGTCACACAAATTTTTACTATTAGCCGAATCAAACATTTTGTTAACTACGTCGATGAAATTAGCTGTATTAATAGCTGTTGATGACTTAATCTCACCAGTGGCAATGCAAGTTTTTATTGCTGCAGAAACTGAATTACTCAATAATTGTATAGCCAATTTGCAATTCATTTTCTGAAATGGATTTGGATTTAAATGAGTCGGTGTTATTTTAATCATTGCCCTCGCGGTATTTTTTGCATCTATTTCATACGCCTTTCTTATATCGTTCATTGACACTTTTGTACTATTATTTATCTCAAAATCGCCATTTAATAAATTGTTCCTCACACTCTTAATAAGGTGTGGCATGTCATAAATTAAAAATAGTTTCTTACCACATATTGTGGTCGAAGGTTGATCTTCGTTTCCTCCGAGTAAAGTATACATACGACGGTTTTGTGCTCCCTGATCGCAAATAATGCATGTTGGTGAGAGACCAAGATCTAAAATTTGTTTAACACAGTCTTTGATTATGTTGACCAAATTATCTCCTTTTACACCACTCCCAGTGAAAAAGTAGCATAAAGGAAACTTCCAGTTTGAATAAAGACCGCGAACCATAACAACTAATGCTTGAGAACCTATTTTATTTGTTCTCCCTAATGTCCCCAAGTCTTCATATCCTTCAATTTCATCCAACACCTTATTATACTCCAACGTTTTCATAATAGCTACTTCATCAAGTAAAATTGTACATTTTTTTTCATTTTCACTCATTCCGGAAATCTTTAATCTTATCTGATCCATATACGCTTTAGGAAATCCAGTAGAAAAACTAATTGAGTTAAGCCAACGTCTAACAGTAGTCTCACCTGGTAGAATTATGCCATTTTTACGCATAAATTTGTAGGTGGACGGTGACTTGTAATATAATGATAGGGCCATATTTTTTTCAGTTTTAGACCATGGTTTGAGTCTTTTATGTAACAATTGCATTGATATTAGAGCCTTAGAATTAATTGAAGGAAACTTGGTCCCTTCAAAAAAACG